CGCTTGATTAAAAAAAAAAAAGTTAGGTTTCACAGCCAAACTACCTAAAAAAAAAAAAAGAAAACGAATGCAACTACCACATCTAAAGTCTGGTAGGCTGCAATAAAGTCAATGGAATAGCTTGAAAGTCAGGCAACTAGTATTTCCAAAAAGAGAGGTCAGCAATGGCAGATTCCATGGTTTATGTAGTACAGGTTTCCTACGTTTCTTTCAGTATCCCAGCACAGCAACAAATGTTTTTGTTTTTTTAACCAATCTATTTCATAATTGCACCACCCCGACAATACGTATAGGACCTAACTGTAATAAGCCATGTGCTGAAAGACAAGACTGTATTACACTGACTGGATATTGTTTGTGGACCTGGCTGAGATCTCAATAAAATGTGCTAATTAGATGCAGACAAACTCTATAGGGAATAACCTGCTCTCGGACTGCCCGGTCTGTTGTATGCTAATAGTGGGTATTGCTGTAAAACAATCTATAATTCCATTGTCTGGCATCCTTATACTTTTTCAACCACTTTCATCCTAGAGGTTTTTAAAGGTACCCATGAACAAAAGTTTCCGGTTGTTCCTGACAAAGATCTTTTTTTGCAAACTGTACACTTACAGGTCTCTAACTGCTGGGTAAATTTGACATAGGTAATAACCTACATAGTTGACTTACACATATACTAAGCTGAAAGAAGTGTCAAAGTGTCTTGCCACTGTCTATAAACAGATTTGTAATCTAATGGCAAATAAATGTTTGCATTTGGATAAAGCATTTTTGGTATTCATTGTGGAACGTAGCCTCAGTACATGGTGAGGCTCAAAATGTTCTATCTGTAGTGGTATCTTAAAGCAAGCCTGTGACAGAAAAAAACATATACAAATGGTACATACAGTACATGATGTTGCTTACACCTATACAACAGTTCTCATTCTTTCTTTCCAGAGTGACCAGGAGTTCCTGACCACAAGTTCCATACCTCCCAACTCTCCCTCATTTGGAACCAAATCTCTCTGTCCCTCATTGCTCCTCAGTCAGTTTTTTGTCTGATGTACCGATAGCAATGAAAAGGTTCTATTCAACTACCAAAAGTGTTATTCCATGCAAAAACCTTCATCTTATCTCCGATGCTAAACTCAGGAGTTAAAATGTAAAAATGCATTCACGTACTTGTCAAAATGCCCTGTTTTTTCCGCCCTCACCCTGCAGCGCCCTCAGGCGGCCGCTTGCCTTGCCTTTGCAGTAGCGCCGGGCCTGCACGCACCCTAACGATGAACAAAAATGCACCTAACTTGTGTATCACTCAACTGTAGATCCTCAAATCATCTCTGAATTGGTGCTGACACTGTCCTTTCCTCTGGAGGGTGTATTGTTGACCCCCATGGTTCCTGTGTGTGTTGTAAAATAGACACCTCTCCAAGCTGGCTCCCATTATAGACTATAATTTCAATACAAAGTAGTAAACTAAACGTGAGATTGTAGTCCATCACACGAGCGAGCTTGGAGCGGTGGCTACATTACAACACACACAGGGACCATGGGGAACAAGAGTAGCTTCCAGAATGAAGGACAATGTCAGCACCAATTCAGAGATGATTTGAGGATCTACAGCCGAGTGATACACAAATAAGATACATTTTTGTTAATAGTTAAGGTGCTGGAATGTAGTTTTAAGGTTTAACTCCTGAGTTTAGTGTCACTTTAAAGTAGAGGTAAAGTTATGAGCCATACGCAGCTCAGTGAACAAGCCTGGCAAGGTCCTGTGCCAAAATTAATCCAGTGCCCATGTGTAGGAGTTACATCATTCCGGCTTGGAAAATCAAGATCCAAAAGCGCTAAAGCCGGAACAAGAGCAGGTGTAGATAGCAGTGCTGGTGGAGGAAGGGAGAATTGATGTAACAGTACTGGAGGCGATTGCCTGTAAGGTAAGATGCCAAACTGTGCATACTAGCACATTATAGGAAACATCTCCTGGGGACTCATTATAAGCATGTTTATCTTTATGGTTTACTACCACTTTGATTATCCTGTTTGCCATTTAAAAAAAGCCTGCATAAAGGAAAACTGGTGGAAAAAAATCAAGTCTGGGTTTAACCAGCGATTTTTGGCATATACATTTTTAATGCTCCTCATAACTGGGGGCATGGCAGGGATGTGTCCGTTGCAGTACATTGTGCTGGAAGGTGTCTCTCTTTCTCATCTCAAAGTTGGTAAGTATGCAGTTCTGCTCACTCCCATCTCATCTCCAGCAGCTCATTTGGGGTTATAAGGGTACTTATCTTCACAGTGATGGGTTAGTATAGAACTACAGGAATCAGGATGGTGCAAAAACTGGGCAATTTTATTATATACTGTATATGTTTCAGGGCTCCTAGGGCACTGTAGTGAAAAACAGACCTGGTGTGCAAGCAGCTGTAGATGGCTACACTATGATGTTAGTCGAAATGACATATTTAGCATTTAGCATTGTGATCACATTATACACTCCACACTATCTTTACATTATATGCAAATTCAGCTTATAATACGATAACTACTTATACCGGACATTATATCCCAGAGAGAGCCTATTTTCTTGTTTCATGTTGCTCTCACTGCTTTAATTTCTTGCACGACTTTAGACGCAAAGAGATCTGTGGCTAATGAGAAGTTAAAATTACTGATATCACATACCAGTACATAATACAAAGATGTCTGTGCTGTCAAATCAGTTTGGCATCAACAGCATGAAGTGGGTGACTATGGCCAGAATGTAACATGCCAGAACATGACTCAGATATGTTGTTACAGCTTTTACCTACTACATACAGTTGTATACAGGTAGACTGTCATCTTTTATGAAAGAACTACCACAGACACAACTCATCATTCATTGGGGGAATTGTGACCACATATGTAGATTTCCATATTTTGAAAAACCAGGCCTAGACCAACACTAGATTCAGTCTTGCTAATGGAGTCTTCAATAGTTTAGACAGATACCAAGCCCATAAGCCACTATTGTTGACTTGGCATTAGTGATGTCCATTGTTAGTCAATTCCATATACGTTAAGTGATATAAAAAGGTATACGGTATTCCTATTACTTATCCATTTTTTCTGAAGTTAGCATTTATTAGGTACCAATCTAACCAGACCATCATGTGCATTTTTTCTATAGACTGGGTGATTAGTCCTATTGATCTTATTACACACTGTGCATTAATCTGCATACACACGATGTTTGGATCCGGTTGTATATTTGATATTTTCTTATTTTTGCATTGATGGTTTTTTTTTTGTATTGCTGTTGATTTTTTAAAACTTATTGAAAATTTGTGAACATGAACATAAAAAAGGTATACTGTATATTGGACATGTGGTGAATGGTAAACTTGAAGACATGTCACCCTTGGAAAATGCTACATAAACATCTCTAAAGCTGCCCACACACCTTACAATTTATCTGAAGATTTTCTGTGGTCAGATGGAAAAGGTGCAACAGATTCCTCCATCTACGCTAAACTGTGTGTATGGAGTAATCTCCACCTGGGCCAATCTGTTGCACTTTTTCCATCTGACCACAGATAATCTGCAGATAAATTGTAAGGTGTTTGGGCAGCTTAAGTGTTGTAAGTAAAGTCTGAAGTGACATAGAAAGTTCTCCTCCAATTTTCATTATTAGTCCTTTACAATTTTTACTGGAGATAGTTCCGTGCAAAACACAAACAACATTACAGCAACATTGTACAGTTTTAGAGATCCACAATATGTTTCAAAGTCTATAACAGTGGAGTGGCAAATGAACAGCATTGAACATGCCTTTAGATGCAGAATGATTATAATCTTTTACCATAGGACTTTTCTTCAATAAAAATTGTGTTATGTTTTAGGTTATAATTAACATGGACCTAGCATCTAGAGAGCAAACAATGCTTTTAAAACCACTTGTCAAATCATTTATAATTGGCCAGAATGTGTCCCTGAAAAGGTCATGTAATGAAGAACCTTTTTATGTTTAATAGCTTGTTTTCAGGACATAATTCGGTATATTCCCAGGGTTCCTTGAAGTGTACCATTCATCTCTACAGCAACTTATGTTTCCTCTTTTTATATTTCTGGCTAGGCATACTGTAAATATATATACATATATATATATATATATCAAGGGTAATGAGATCAAAACTAAATCTACAAACCTTTGTCTGTTTTAACGTTGAGTTCAAGTGAAGCAGAAAAGTTAAGAAATAATTTGCTTTGCATAATTGGGTGTTTGAAGAGAACACAGATGTGCTGGGCTGCAGTAGAATACAGACAAATGAGCTGATCTGGGCTTATTAAGGGAAACTTTTGAATGGCTGTCCCTACTAGGGATAAATCTTCCTCAGCATAACACATGGAGTTGAATGAATTCAAATGTTAAAGGTTTTTCTACCCATAACTGATATTTGCATTTTGTGTAGATGTTGGTGTGCTGAATCTCCCCCCATCTTCTTTATCTATCAGGCTAAATAACTGTATATTAACCCAAAGCAACCAGTATAAATGTATCTTTTGCTGATCTGCAAACTGAAATCTAATGGGTTAGTAAAGGTTACTGTACTTTGTGATGCCTTAGTGAATAAACTCACGTTTTTCTTAAAGATCTCCCCCATATTGCTATGCATCTCAGTCCTCCTAGTGTATTTCTTCTTATGTAACATAAATTCATATTCAAACGGGAAGTATTTTACCTCTTCGTAAGGGCTACAGCAGGTGAGCAGAGCTGAAAACAGGTACAGTGACCTTTCTGCTGAGGTTCCAGTCTGAATAATGCCAGTGGATGATTCAACCCCTTATCATTTTCAGGGGAACTACTACACCCCTATTCTTGCATCCTTTAGTTTAAATGTAACATTGCACAGATAAGCTTGAAGATATGACTAATAGCAGAAAGAGCAATTACATGCCTGGAAATGCAACTATAAGCAAGATCAATAACAGAAATATTACATTTCATGCTCAATAAATAAAGCAATAAAGTTTTCCTTGTACAGTTTATTCTACATGTTTATGAAAGTGCATATATAAGTCAATATTACAAGGTAAGTGTGATATCTTAAATAACTTAATACATTCACTAGGAAATAAAGTATAATCTGACATAGAGGATGAGACATAAAAACTAAGCTATTCTGGAAACTAGTTTAATGTCAGTGATCTTGCATCTTGCCTCTAGTGTCTTCTTCTTTTAGTACTGATAGAAGATGAGCTTGCTTTGAAGTAAACAGGAGCGGTATAAACAGGCAAGCAATGGAGTTGTTGATCTCTTTACAAGGGTTGGTACTATGTGGTCTGTAAACACAAGGGCTGCAAATGACGTGTATTCTCTTCATATGCACTTCAACAGGAAAGAGTTGCAGGAAGATCCGCGGGAGCAGTCACACAGCTTGCCAATTCTGGGTCCTTGCTTCACTGCACATCTCTCCCCAATGTCACACTGTGCATAGGGACAGACAAACAACATAACAGCAATTTTATTACAAGGACCAATGAGGATCCCCAAGATGTAATCCTAAGAACTGGAAAAGTGAAGCTGTGTATTCAGCCATGCTATTGAGACTGTGACCACAAAAATGGCAAATTGAGACATTTTCTTCACCAACTCTAATATTATGATTTAATTTCAAATGACTCAAGCTTGGTGATAATGATGTCTAATGTGTTCTCAGTATAGCATACATTACTTGTTGCTTCATCAATCATGGTAAGTTCTACAAAAATATAGCAAAGTAAAAGCAAATTTCTATTATTAGGGCAATGCAAAGAGTGGGGCAGAATACAACAACTCATTGTTAGCATCAGATTTATGGGCTTATTACAAGGTTATTCAGTCAAACAGTTCAAAGAGAAAAGTGCACACAGATACCAATTAGAATGCTATAGGTTACTGCTTTTTGCACTTAGCATGTTTCTTGTACTCTTACTTAGTCATGTATTAGTTTAGAGGAGACAGAACAGAACATTGAAGGGTGAGTGTTGGTTCTTTGCTATGATAATGTAGTCAGGTAACATGTGGTAGCCAGTGGCAGCTCACCAGGTGTTCAACCTGTGCCATTGCCAGGCTCCCTAATATCAGTTCAGCCATCCAGGATTATTATCATCACAGATCCAAAAATGCACAGCTTCTGGGGCAAGGTTAGCCCTTCCTCAGGCACTTACCCTGAGGATGGGCTAACCCGTGCCAAGTTCCTTAATATCAGTCCTAAAAATATCATAGTCATTGCAGGATTATTTTATCATCACAGATCTGCAAATGCACAGTTTCAGGGAAGGTTAGCACTTTATCAGGTTCTTACCCCAAGGAAGGGTTAACCTTGCCAGAAATGTATTTATGGATCTACAACGATAGAATAAATTAGATAATCCCGGAACAGCTTCAATGTACTCCTAGGTGTTTTGGATTGATGTTGCCATGGGTTCCTGCACTTTACTAATTTAACTTTGCTTTATTTATTAAGCCTGTGAGCTGTTTTTCTCTAGTGACAAATATTAGCAATGTAGCTGCAGCAGATGAAGTTAGAGAGCTATAAGTATAATCATATCTTACAGGCTAGCGGTAGATGTTTTGCCTTCCAGTACCATAAAAGTATGTTAAACGTTTAATACTTTAAGTGATTGTTTGTGTGTGTGTATAAGTGTGTGTGCGTGCATGTGTATGTAGGCGTTAGGGATGTTCAGATACCAGTTCAGATACCAGTGCCGATACTTGGCATTTTCATGAGAACTACCAGGGTTGCAGTGGTTGCAGCTGGGACCTGGCTCTGCTCTGGCTCTCCACCACTGTCCTGAAATCATTAGTCGATATTGTTTTAGAAAAACTGTCACATGACAATAAACAAAAATATGGATATGAAGGAGGGTTCCCTACTAAACAAAAATATATCAGTACTCGTATCTGTGAGTACTTGGTCTGGAAAAAATGGTATTGGTGCATCCCTAATACAGTAAACGCTCTGTTATCAGGTGTTCAACTGTAACCAGAAAAAAAACATCTCCTGTGTACTCACTGTTCTGCTGATCTGCCACATGTATTATCCTGGAAACGATTGTGTACCTATTTGTCTTAAATTGTTTTAAGTGTGTCTATTTGCTTTTGATTACTGAATTTCAATATTAATATGAAGTCAATGCAGAGTTTATGTTATGATATGGTATAGTATGGGGTATGGCACTAGTTAGACTTATTTACTTATTTTTAATAGTAACTCTCAAGCAACCAGAAACTACAGTTATCCGAAATCTACCAATCCCTGTGGATGCCGGATAACGGGGAGTTTACTGTATATATATATATATCTATATATATATATTAAAACAGGGATGCACAAATCCCAGGAGCCCCGTAGCCAATGCTCATTACAAATTATAGCTGCCTCCTAACTTTTGAGTTTTTCTCTAGTCTAGTCTTGGAGCTGGAAAAGTAGCTGTACATGTACCGAGTATGGTACTTGGTATCGGAACATCCCTAGTAGACGTGCGTGTGTGTATCTATAGATAGATATGATATATTTGAAATGGGTAATATTTTACATTACATATTTATATGATACAACAGTCACAGTTCACAAAGCTAACACACCAGGATAATCATTCTTACTTTCAAAAAACTGTTAATTATATTCAGCTGAACCCAATGAAAACGACAGTCACATGGCCAAAATAAAGAGTCTTAGCCTTGGGTGTTAGCTTTGTAAGTTGAATCTATCTTATTTACTTACATGTACTTAACTAGCTCATCCAAAATAAGCAGAAATGTAACAAATAACATAAACCAAAGCTCACCATCGGAATCTGGGCTCTCTTCTGATAGACAGGGTACCTGTCCTGAAATTTTCCTAACAACTCTTCCATTGCCTCTACCTGAGTTGAAACAGAAGACATAAGAGCAGCTTTAAACCTGACTCATCTCATGAACATTGTCTGATTCCTTACAATACAGAACAATCATTTCTATTCTAGATAAGGCAGATGTGCAATGTGTGTAAAAGACACCAACCAGCTCTTTCTCAGACGATGTGGCGATTTTTTTGGCATCAAAGTCTTCGGAGGAGATTTCCCTGGAGGACTGGCCGTGGCAGACGCAGAAGAGAAGGACACTTGCACACAGTAGATGGAACAGGAGCTGGGAGCTGTTCATGGTACTGAACAGGGTCAGCTGGTCTCTTCGTCCCTCTTCTTGTAGCTCTCGGGTGATGACTCCAGGACTCCGGACAAGTTGCTTATAAACTCATTCTGCCCCTCCCGCTGAGACGATCTGCAAACAGCAAAAGTGTGATTCGTTGCCTGAGCTCTGATACATCTGATCCCTCCAATAGGGAACACACAGCCATTCAATCCTATGCATGTCTCCTGCTGCCAGGAATGATATGGACTGCGCTGGCAGAAGCTGTCTTAGTAGAACACTCTTCAATCCTGAAAACAGAGGTCACAATTAAGAAGAAGCTGAATAAATAAAAAAAACAACAAGCTGCAGACCTGTTCTCTATCTTCTCTCTACATTTATTATATTTATATAGAAAGCAGGTCTCCTGAATGGAGTTTTACTATTACTTACACATCTCTAGCACCAGACACTCTTAGCATCACATACAAATTCAACTCCATAATTATCTCTTTATTATCTATGTATAAACACAATGAGGGGAATTTATCAGAACTGGAGCAGACGGAATCTGGAGCAGCTGTGCATGGCAACCAATCAGCTTGTCTTTCATTTTTAAAACTTAACTGAACATACTTAGAGAGAAGCTGATTGGTTGCCCTGGGCAACTGCTCCAGGTTCCTTCTGCTCCAGTTTCGATAAATTACCCTCATTGCACTTCCTAAAAAAGAAACCTTAAAAGCACTTAAAATAACGCCTAACTACTGCAGCGTCCTGCACATATGATGAACTATCATTAGATATGTATTTAGAATATTATTGGGTAAAACTTTAGGTTTATGTTAGTGTATACATTGATAATCAAGAGATAAGCTATTGAATTCATTGTCTGCATGTTGTGGAATTTATATATGATGCTAAAGCCCCATTTACATAGGACTTATGCTGCATTTGATATTGCATTACTGTGCGTTGTGGTGTGTTGTGGTGCGTTGCTGTGCCCAACGGCAAACAATTGCATTAGGGTGCCGTTCAAATGTATGCGAATGCACCTGGCACTGTGCTATAGCCTTAATTGCTGCCAACTGCATGACAGTCCCTAGGAGCTGCGAGACAACACTTAGGACTGAATGACTCTTCTTCGAACTGTGTGAATGCATCTCCAAGCACACTCACTCAGTCCCATGCATTATCATACAGCTTCCAGCAGAGGCACTCAGTAGCATGCATTGTCATACAGCTCCCAGCACCGTCACTCCATCCCATGCATTGTCACACAGCTCACAGCAGAGTCACTCAGTACAATGCAGTGTCACACAGCTCCCAGCAGAGTCACTCAATCCCATGCCTTGTCAGGCAGTCCCAAAGAGAGTCTCTCAATCTCATGCGTCGTCACACAGCACCCAGCAGAGTCACTCCATCCCATGCATTGTCACACAGCTCACAGCAGAGTCACTCAGTACAATGCAGTGTCACACAGCTCCCAGCAGAGTCACTCAATCCCATGCCTTGTCAGGCAGTCCCAAAGAGAGTCTCTCAATCTCATGCGTCGTCACACAGCACCCAGCAGAGTCACTCAATCCCATGCGTTGTCAGGTAGTTCCAAAGGGAGTCGCTCAATCCCATGCGTTGGCATGCAGCACCTAGATCAGTCACTCAATCACATGCATTGTCACACAGCTCTCAGCAGAGTCACTTAATTTCATGCATTGTTCGAACGAGAGTTGTTACGCAGCTGGCTGAGTGACTCTCTTTTGAACTGCATGACAACGCATGAGACTGAGTGATTTCACTGGGAACTGCGTGACAATGCAGCATGGGACTGAGTGACCCTTTTTGGAACTGCATGACAATGCATGGTACTGAGTGACTTCACTGGGTGCTGAATTCACACAGTTCCAAGAAGAGTCATACAGACATCATGAAGCTCTAAGCAGAGCCACTCAGTCCCATGCATTGCCACGCAGTTTGCAGCACAGTCACTCAGTTCCATGTGTTGCCACACACTTCCAAAGAGAGTCACTCAGTCCAATACGTTTTTACGCAGCTGGCTAATTACTACTTTGAGCTTCATGGCAACGCATGGGATTGAGTGACTTCACTGGGAGCTGCGTGACTACGCATGGAACAGTGTGACTGTTCTGGGTTTTGCATGACAACGCATGGAACTGAGTGACTCTTTTTGGAACTGTCTGACAAAGCATGGGACCGAGTGACTCTGCTGGGAGCTGTGTGACAATGCATGGGACTTATGGGTAGGTTCACCCAGGCACCAGGAACAAACCCAACATCCTGCAGGGAAGTGAAAATCTAACAGCAGTATTACTACTAAAGAAAAATAAAAACACAAAAGAGCCATGGATTTCCCTTAAAGCTATAGATTTTAAGGGAAACACTAAGCAAAACTTTTTTTAAAAAGCGGGGTCCTCCTCAAAATTCATACCAGACCCTTAAAGCCCGGAATGGATTTTGAAAGTGGAACCCCACAAAAAATTGGCATGGGCAGCCACCTGGCAGGCCAGGAAAGGGAGGGACAAGTGTGCAGTCCCCCTCTCCTGAACCACACCAGTCCACATCACACCCTCAACATGGGGGAGGGGGGTGCCTTACCAGGGGGGATTTCCCTGGCAAAGCACCTTGTCTTTAAAGTGACATTAAACCCTCAGATTTTTTAACATAAACCAATACTGTAATGTGTGCCTTACTGTAATCCATGGTAGTTTCCCTTCTCTTTGCTGCTCTTCCTTTTAAATACTCATGTCTTCTCATGCTGGGGGAGAACTTCCCTTTGCAGCTGAGTGCCTCTTCCTGTATTGCTGGCTCAGGTTGTGAACCTTCACACAGACACCATGTATCCATTCCAGAGACAAGGCAGTCTGCTGCAAAAGAGAAGTTCTGCCCAGCATGAGAAGAGATACGGATTTAAAAGGAAGAGCAGCAAAGAGAAGGGAAACTACCATGGATTACAGTAAGGCGCACATTACATTACATATTGTTTTATGTTAAAAAATCTGAGGGTTTAATGTCACTTTAAGTTGATGAGGACAAGTGCCTCTTCCTCACAATCCTTGTCCAGTGGCTGTGGGGGTCTGCATGCAGGAGACTAATTGGAATCCCCCCCGTGAAGGAGTAATGGGTAAGGAAGTCTAACTCTGCATATCCATCGTCAATCACGTTGTCCAGCAATGCAGATCATGGTAACGCATGCCTGTCGACTAATGGAAAAAAAATACCGGACATGTCCACACCAACGGGAGACTAGAGCCAAATGACTGCTACTGTACCCACAGCTGAATATAAACAAAGGGGCAGGGTACCATGAAGGGTAGATGTAGCCTGAACTGTGACAAACAAGTCCCCCATCAGACCCTCCCTTGAGGGTGACAGTAGGCAGTGGGTGGGTGCCATGACCAGCCTGCTATTGGCTGTGGCACACCTGCTGTAAATCAGGAGCAGAGCAGGTTTGATGGGAAAATTGGCACTCAGAATTCCTCATCAGGCTCTGTGTCAGCGTCACCGATCATTAAGGACTTAATAAGCAGTGATACAGAGTGGGCAGAGCTTGATGCGGATTTTTGACTGCCGATTTCCCCATCAGGTCCCCTTTGCTGTTGATTGACAGCAGGAAGGGTCTGCCATAGCCAATAGCAGGCTGCCCATCAGTCTCTGCTACCCACACTAAATGTCTTCTGTCGCTGTGCCTGCATGTGTGACAGCTCAGTAAAGCGGAGCCTGTGATTTGATCAGGTTCAGTGTTTTTCAGCTATGGACACTCCGGCTTCATTGCGCCTCTGCACCGCAATCCACACCAGTGTTTGCAAAAAATTCATGTACCTCCTTGCAACATATTTTGAATTCTTACACAAGCTAGTTTCAATAGGTTTAATGAAAATTCTGCCTGGAGTTCTTCTTTAAATACTATGCATGAACAAAATAAATAAAAAATCTCTTCAGTGCATCTCTACAACACATGCACATTTCCCCTTGTTTCACCCCCTTAACAACACTGCAAATATAGAAAAATATCTGTTGATCTGCTAGAAATCTAGTGTGCTCCTAACTTGCTGAAATTAGTGGACAACGCTGCTTCAGCCGGACTAAGATCCCAAGCAGTTTTGCCATCCCCGTCTGAGTTCTCTCTTCTGGACTCCGGAATACCTCCCCTTTATGATATTGAGCTGAGGAGAGGGGGAGACTGTTTTGTAGTCTAGCAAGGGACAACTTAGGCTGCTCACGTGATTCACAGAGTCCTTTTTCTTTTTGGATCCTTTCTACAGGTTGGCGGTCCTCGATAATGTAGAGAGCAGCACTGACGTGATGTTATCAGTGTCACCCTCTCATATTTGCATGTGAGTGCAGGGCGTCGTGGTGGCTCCCCTTTAGCAGGTAGGCCCCCTACACTCACAGGAAGTCCTCAGTCTTCCCAGCTGAATTACTACTGTGTAGGACAGCACCAGAGAGGAGATGAGTGCTAGGGGAGTATTTTTTTTATTTTTCCAAGAGTTGGTCTTTACATGTAGCAGAGAAAAATCCATCTCCTGTCCTGCTTGACAGGTCCGTGTACTGGGACAAAGCTGTGTAAACTCCAGGACTGAATAGACATAAATGCAAATCCTTTGGCATGTAAAACAGTTCCCATATATGTCTTTATCTGTGTGTTTAACTGATGCCTGGGTTTAAGCTTTTTTTTATTTATTTTTTTAAAGGTCAATAAAAAGCATATATCTGGAATTTTATTAACCCGGGATATTTCAAATTCAATTTGGGAAAGTATTATTGGTTGCTGGAAACTGGGAAGATGAATTAAGAGCAATTCCTGCAGGTAATGGCAATAGTGATTGTAATTATTACATTAGAAGGTAAGACTATCGATCCAGATAATTAATCACATTGCTGGACAAGGAGTCTGGAAGGATTTCCCCTTGTGTGTTTTAAATTGCTCTGGATGATCCCATTTTGGGATTGCATCAGATGGAAGCTGTTCAACTTGTATCTTGAAAAACCCCTCCAAGCCTATGTAATATGGAAAGGAAACATTGAGAATATTTAGAATTGATATCTTACCCAATATGAATCATCAGCAGTTTAAGACAACTTAGTAATATAAAGGATTGC